ATGGGAATGGGATTGGGATGGGGATTGGGGATGGGAGCAGAGCAGTGGAATCACCTCCCTCTCTCTGGCTCTGTGTGCCCCTCAGGCTCCTGTGTCCGCAGGCTGCTGAACGTGTCCCTGGGGCTCCTCATCACCTACCTCAGCATCCCCGTGATCCTGAACCTGCTCAGCTCCACACAGGTCATGAACTCCTCCTTCAACCCCCTCAGGATCGTCAACACCTACGGAGCCTTTGGCAGGTACCTGGGGGCCTTCAGGGCCACATTCCTGCAGGGAATTCCTGACACTCCCTGTGCCCAAACCTAGAGAGAAATCCTTCCAGCAGACCTGGAATATGAAAGAGATGGAGAAGAGGAGCAGGTTCCTTTCCCACTAAATTCCAATTTATGGATTATCTGTTTATGAGAAATAAGGAGAAAAGGAGCAGGTTCTTGCCCACTAAATAACAGAAATTTCTGTGGACAGAAAAAAAACTCGAAAAAAATTATTAAAAGCATCAACACTTGTGGAAAATGCCAAAATTTCCTCTTTTTTTTGAGAGAAAGAGAAAACCCCTGAATCTCTTTGAAGGCTGGAGAGGTGAAGCTGCAGGAGATTTTTTTTTTCTTTGGGTTTTGGTCCTTTTTCTCCTGCAGCCTTTGCTTTCTGTTTCAGCAGTTCCCAGACTCTACAGAGCACGTGCTCAAACTCTGCTGTGATGTGTTGGTAATTCCAGCCTGTGCCAACCAAAAAAAAAAAGAGAATTGCAGCTTAAAATGAATCTGCCATGATGTGAAACCAAACAGGTTTGGGATCACACAGCAGGACCAGGATTTTATTTGGAATTTGGTGTCCCTGATTTACAGGGTGTTCCTAAGCCAGGCTCAGGGCATAAAATGGAATTTGGCTGGAGAATCCCCAGATCTCCTCAATGGAGGGAACAATTAAAAGAGGGGATGCTCAGCATTCCTTAGAGCATCTCTCCCTGGGAGCCATCAGGGTGGGAGGTGGAGGTTGTGTGCTCCCAAATTTTGGGCTGGGAGAGGCAAAATCAAAGCAGGAAAAGAAATGCAGAGGGTGTTGGGAGCTGGAGACAGGGGGGTGTCCCTGGCTTTGGAATTTGCCATTCCCACTGCTGGGATTGCAGCTGAGCCATGTGGGAATTCTGCTGATCCAGAACCACAGATTCCCCCCCGTCCTGCAGGAATCATTTGGATGGATCTGATGGATCACAGCTCTCTGGAAGGGAGGGGGTGGAATTTGGCTTTGCTGCTGGACAGAGGGAAATCCCAGGATGCAGAGGTTCTCTGGATCTCAGCATCCAGCTGCACCTCCAGTGGCTCCTGTCCCACCTGGACTCTCATGAGCCAGAGCTTTGAGTTATGGGGAGAAATCCTAAATCCTTCCTTGTCATGGGGGGGAACCTGGCACAGATTCCCAGAGGAGCTGTGGCTGCTCCTGGATCCCTGGGAGTGTCCAAGGCCAGGGTTTGGAGCAGCCTGGGATAGTGGGAAGTGTTGGGGTTGGAACTTTGGCTTTTCCCCAAACCCAAAGCATTCTGTGATTGGATGATTTTCCACATTTTTGAGCCAAATAACAGCACCCTGTTGTACCCCCACAGCATCACCAAGGAGAGGACAGAAGTGATCCTGCAGGGAACATCCAGCCTGGATCCCAATGATCCCACAGCAGTCTGGGAGGAGTTTGAGTTCAAGTGCAAGCCTGGGGATTTGAGGAGGAGGCCGTGCTTCATCTCCCCCTACCACTATCGCCTCGACTGGCTCATGTGGTTTGCTGCCTTCCAGGTAGGGGCCTCTGCAAGCTTGGAGCAGGAAAAACCAATTCCATGGATTTACTGCGTGTTGGGATCACTGGGGAGTGTTGGAAGCAGTGGCTGAGTTAATTAAGTTTAAAAAAAAAAACAAAAAGTGAGAACAAAGGTTGTGTTCCTAAAGGGCTGTGCTACTGTAATGAAACTCTTGGCAGTTTTATGTGAGGTTTTTTTGGTTTTTTTTTTTTTTTAAGGGTTTCTTAGCAATACCAAGAGTCCCTGTTGGGGACACCCCTGGGGCCAGCAGCTCACATTCCCCACACACGTGGACATTGGTCCCTCCAAATATTTTCCCCACGTGACATCAGCAAACAGGTGACAGCCAGAAATTAAATAAGGGGGGGTTGGAACTTCAATGTTAATTCTCCATTAGCTTATTTTGCAAATCTTACCCACATGACATGGGCTGGGTTTTCCAAATCTGACTGACAGCAGTGGCATGAGGAAAACCCACCTGAATATCCCAGGATTTTCTCTTTGTCCCTCCATCCTCTCCTGGTTTATCTTTTTTTCCCTGTGCCCCAGACTCGTGGGTTTGCTTTCCCCGTGGTATTTTCATTTCGGTGCCTTTGGGATTCCTGGGCTGTGACATCAGGCCATGGTTTGATATTTCCCCCCGCTGGTTTGTGTGTGCTGGAATTTCATTTAATCTGCATTAGGGCTGCTTATCCCTCGGGAAAACCACAGCCAAGGTCCAAACTCCAGCCAGGAGCAGAGCCTGGAATTAGGGAAAGGTGCAGGGTGGGGGTGGATGGAGCTGGGGCTGTGTTTGGGGAGGGCTCCGAGTGGGGAGAATTCATCTCCCCCAGGACAAAGGTTTGGGTCTGAGGTGTGAAAAAGGCTCTGCCCAGGGAGAAAATGTCCCGAGGGTTTAAAATAAAAAGGATCTGAGGTTTAAAGCTGAAAAGGATGGGACAGAAGTCCTGCTGTGCCAAGGGATGCTGGAGCCAGGTGCTGGTTCCACCTGGGAGGAGGAAGAGGAAATAACTCATCTTTTCATCCTTACTGCTAAATTCAATATTATTTGTGATTAATTCATTATTTGTAGTGTTTAATGCATTGTTATTAGCGTTTAATGCATTATTATTAGTGTTTAATCCATTCTTAATTGCGTTTAATTCACTATTATTCGTGTTTATTTCGTTATCATGAACAGTGATAAACAGTGAGAACGGTGGGAATGGGAATAATTCCTGTGGAAAACAATGGGAATGGGGATAATTCCCGTGGAAAATTGTGGGAATGGGATAATTTGTGGGAAACAGTGGGAGTGGGAGTGGGAATGGGAATGGGAATGGGGATAATTTGTGGAAAACAGTGGGAATGGGGTAACTCTTGTGGAGAGCAATGGGAATGGGGATAAATCCTGTGGAAAACAGTGGGAATGGGAATGGGAATGGGAATGGGAATGGGAATGGGAATGGGAATGAAAAGAGTGGGAATAGGGATATCTCTTGCTGAAAACAGTGGGAATGGGATAACTGTTGTGGAAAACAGTGGGAATGAGAGTAATTCCTGTGGAAAACAGTGGGAATGGGGATAACTTGTGGAGAACAGTGGGAATGAAGGTAATTCCTGTGGAAAGCAGTGGGAATGGGGTAACTCCTGTGGAGAACAGTGGCAAGGCGAGTTTCCCGGGCACTGCAGTGATCCTGGGATGCTCGGGCATGTAAATACGTGCTTAGGCATGGCAGTAAATCCCGTCTGGAATGGCCTCTGGAGCACGGGGAGCTGCACACCCTGGGCTGCCCCAGAAATGCCCGGGTGGAGTTTTCACCCCAGAGCGGCAGAAGGGGTGAGAGGCAGGAGCTGAAAGCCCGGGAGGAGTCGTGCAAAACCCGCGTGGGAGTTCACGGAGCCCATAAACCTCCCGGCCTCGGCATTGGATTTCATTTGTTTCCACGAGTTCTGGGATGTGTCTCTGGCACCGCCGGGGCTGTGTCTGCATTTCCCTGGCAGTGGCCGGGGATGGAGGTGACATTCCCAGCTCTGACAGGCTGTGGAAAAGCCCTGGAGCTGCGGGAAGGATATTTCCCATCCCTTGGTGCTGCTCCTGACAGGCTCCTCTTTGCACCTCATCAGCACATGACAAACGACCCCGGCATTCCCCCGAGGAATTTTTCCACCCTGGATTGGCTGCAGGATTCACTGGGAACGGCCTTGGACAATTCCAGGGATTCAGGGGCGTCCTCACCCCCAGAGGAGGGAGGAAATAATGGTTGAAATGGTAGAATGGGATTTAATCCCACAAAAATGAGGTTTAAGCATTAGGAATAACTTTTCCCCTCCTTGACACTTGCATGTGTTGGTGCAGAAACGTCCTGGTTTTACAGGAGCTGGGGACAAATTGGCAAAGGCTTATCTGTGCTGTAATTATTTGACTTCTGGTTTATGGTGGAATTTCAGGAATAGCCCAACACTGAGCTGGGCTGGCCCAAAAAAATCATTCCAATTCCTGGATTCAGCATCACTGATCAGTGACAACCAGAAAACAAAATACTGCTCGTATTTCTGGGGCTTTGAGTTGTTCAGTTCTGCTGGTGCTGGGATGTCGTGGATTCTACAAAATTTGGATTCTTATTGTCCCCAAGGTTTGTTGTGGAAAAGGAGAAATCAAAGGGAAAGGCTTTTCCCTTCCTTATTGTGGCAGGAAAGGTTTTTATTCTGTTTGGGGACTGCGTGGCCAACACAAAGGCACCCTCTCGGTGCTGCTCAAATAATAACTGCTCCAAAATCACAAAATATTGCTGTCCTCGGGTTGGATTTAAAGCCCAGTGTTTGTTGGACTGTTCCTTGAAGCTGCTCCAAAAACCTGCCACGGAGCAGAGTTTGGGATGCTCTGGGATGCAATTTGTGTTTTCCAGACATGAGGTTATTTATTAAAAAAAGCCTTCAGCTGCTTTCCTAAGAGCAGAGAGGGTTGGTGCTCTGAGCTTCTGCCCTGGGTGGTAACGGAGTGACCTGGAAGAGCAGAGGAAAATTAACCCCGTTTGTGGAGAAAGCAGGGTCACATTTTTGTCAAATGCTTGATTTGAAGCTCCCGTTGTCTCAGCCTTGCAGCCAGAAGGTGCTCGGAGGGAAATCGTGCCCGAGGAGGAGGTGTGAGTGTCCTAATCAACCCTCAGCCTTTTCCATTTCCTTCCTTCCCCCTTCTCCTCAGCTCAGTTCCTGCAGAGGGAATTTTCCTCCTCCTTTCCCCTGGGATTATTTTCTCCCTGTGGCCGTGAAGGATCCCAGGGTGGCTCAGCTGCAGCAGGAGCAGTTCCAGGGAAGTGCCCAAAATCCCAAACCAGCCTGATATCCTATCGTTGGATCAATACAGGGGGAGACCTTGTCCCCCAGGGAATGATTCCTGTCCTGTGACCCTCTGGAACAAAGGGACTTTTCATCCCCCAGCCAGGGGTGATACAGGAGCTGTGCCAGGTGTGGCTTTTCCCTGGATAGGTGGGATGGAGGAGCTGATTCCCAAAGTCTCTCCTTTTATTCCTGCCTCCTTCAGGGAGCAGCTGCTTTCCCAAGGATTTTTCTAATGGATGGAGGGATGGCTTTTAGGGAGTAACTGCACATGGGGCTGGAGACAGGGATTTTTGGGAAACTCATTAAAAAAAAAAAAAAAAGGGATGAAATTAGGAAAAAAAATCTTCCCAGTGAGGGTGGGGAGGGGCTGGGATGGAATTCCCAGAGGAGCTGGGGTTGCCCCTGGATCCCTGGAAATGTCCCAGACCAGGCTGGATGGGGCTTGGAGCAGCCTGGGACAGTGGGAGGTGTCCCTGCCCATGGCAGGGGTGGCACTGGATGGGTTTTAGGGTCCCTTCCAACCCAAACCATTCCATGATTCCATGTGGATATTGGGGACCACAGAACGGACCTTCCTTGGCCAGCAGGATGATGGTACCAAGTGAGCTGGAATGAGATAAAAACGACAAAGGGTGGCATTGCCTGTGTGGGATTTTTAGTGTGGGATTATCACTCCTGACAGCTCAAACTCCCTGAACAGCAAATGCTGGAGGTGTTTGACCCCAGCAGTGGGTATGGCCTGAGAATGGCCAGGATGGTGAAATTCCACAGTGCAATTCCCGAGTTACATCCACGGTGGCTCAGCTGTGACACAAAACCAGCCCAAAAACGGGGGAAAACGGGACCTGCCCTGCCCCTCTGGCAGCCACTGGCTCCGACCTGGAACCGCTCAGGGCTCCCAACCACGTGAAATAATAACCCCGGGCTGCTGTGCCAAGTTTCCAGCTGTTCCCACATGTGCATCTCGTCCTGACCTCCTCCTGTGCCCGTGCCAGCCCCAGATTCCATAAAACACCACACTAATCCCCAGTCCTTTTTCATTAAATGACCAATTAAAGCTCAAGGAAAAGCCTCCTTATTATTATTATTATTATTATTATTTCAGTTGGGAACACGTTCCCTGTAGCACCGGGGGGTTTATTTGGTTTTTTTTTTTGGGGGGGGGGATGATAACATTGCCTTGATTTTGTTATCAGCACAGTTTGGCTGCTACCGTGGCTGCTTTGCTTAGCAGAGCTTTGGCTTTCGGTTTTGTGCAGTTATTAAATTCTCCTGGACACAGTGAACGTGTTCAAGGTGAGAACACCGTGTTTATTCCCTGGAAAAAGTGTTGGGGTGGAGAGGTCAGGGAGTGCCAAAAGCCAGCGCTCAGCTCCTCACGTGTGCCTGGGACAAGGAGCAAATCCCCTTCCCCAGGTGGCATCTGGGGTCCCACTGGCATGGAAAGATGGGGGAAGTGTCTGCCTGAGCTCTGCACGAGCAGAAATCCATCAGGAATTCAAAGCTTGGGGGGGGGTCTGAGCAAAAACGTGCCTGAAATTCTTTGTTATTCTTTATTATGGGAAGAGAGATAAAATATTGGAATTGTGTGCCTGGGAGGTGGTGGAGTCACCATCCCTGGATGTGTTTAAAAAAGTCTGGATGTGGCACTGGGTGCTGTGGGTGAGCTGAGGGGTTGGGTTGGACTGGATGATCTTGGAGGTCTCTTCAAAACCTGGGATTGTGTGAATTGTGGGATTGTGTGATTGTGTGATTGTGTGAATTGTGTGATTGTGTGATTGTGTGAATTCTGTGATTCTGTGATTCTAGCCTGGTCATTCAGTGATTCCAACTCAGTGATTCTGTGGTTCTGTGATTTTGTGATTCTGTGATATTCCAGCCTGGTGATCCTGTGATTCTGTGACTCTGAGATTTTGTGACTCTGTGATTTTGTGATTCTGTGACTCTGTGATCCTGTGACTCTGTGATTCTGTGATTTTGTGATTTTGTGATTTTGTGACTCTGTGATTTTGTGACTCTGTTATTTTGTGACTCTGTTATTTTGTGATTCTGTGATTCTGTGATCCTGTGATTCTGTGACTCTGTGATTTTGTGACTCTGTGATTCTGTGATTTTGTGATTCTGTGACTCTGTGATTTTGTGACTCTGTTATTTTGTGATTTTGGGATTCTGTGACTCTGGGATTTTGTGACTCTGTTATTTTGTGATTCTGTGGTTCTGGGTGCTCTGGGCAGGGTCACTCGGTGCTGGTGCTCTCCTGCAGTGGCTGTGCAGTCCCTGGATCCCCAGTAATCCCAGCGTGGATGCAGCCCAGGCTCTGTGTGGAGCTGTGGCCCCAGGGGAGCAGCTCTGGGAGCCTGATCCATGCCAGGATGGAGATGGATCCATCAGGATCAGTCCTGGCTGCTTCCCCTGCTCACTGAAATCCCTAAAACTGCCCCCAAATCAGACCTGCCCCACCTCCCAGCCATCCATCAATCCTGGATCATTATTTCTCCCATCATTACTCCCCTGGATGGTTCAGGCTCTGTGTTGCACACTCAGATCCCTCCATGCAGTCCAGAACTGGATCCTGCTGGATGCACAGAGGAACCCCTTGGAGTGACACTTCCCTGGGTTCAGCCCAGATCTCCTGGACTCTTTTTTCCCCTTTTTTTTTTTTTTTTTTTTTTTTTTTGCCCACGGTATCGCTTTGCAGAGCAATGAGTTAAGCAGGGTCGTTAGCACAGCCCGGGGAGGGGGGCAGGGGCTGCACCGCCTGGAAATTTCTCACCGCAGACTTCACTGGGGCCAGACATGCTGTAAATTTTACAAGAAAAACACTTTACAGACCAGAAGTCCAACTCTGGTGTGCACCGAGCCGCTAATTAACAATTTGGAGACCACGGGAGCCGATCCCACCTTCCTGGAGCCTCCCGGTTCTCAGTCAGCCTTGGAAGGTTTGGGGCTCCAGCTCAGGGACTTTGCTGATTCCTGTTTCCATTCTCTTTTTTGCTTCCCAGCTTTCACACAGGAGCTCCCAAATCTCCCATTTTCCTCTCCTGGAAATGATGTTTAACCTCACCCGGGGCACTGGGATGTCCAGGGAGACTCGGGATGCTCAAGGTGCCACTTGTGATCTTTGATCCCTGCAGTTGTTGTGGCGCTTTTTGGGAGATTCCCCTCTCCCAGCCAGGGATTCCCAGGGATTCCCAACTTCCCAAATCCCACCTTGAGCACCCCCAGCACCCCAGGGCTGTTGAGGGACACAGGGACTCGGTGTGAGTGACCCACGGGGACGGTGGCAGCTGTCCCTGGCAGGTGGCTGAGCTTTGTGTGGCACATCCCACACCGTGCCAGGCTCCTGCTTCCAGTCTGTCCCTGCCTGGAATGTGCCACCACGGTGGCCTCTGTCCCCTTGTCCTGTGGGAAATGGGTTTGTAGAGAGTTTTCAGAAGGCTCACACTTCTGTGTGCAAACCTGGAGGTAAGAAATGCTGACTTAGAAATGCCATGGAATAGGACAGATGATGTTGAACTAAGAAAAAAGTTCCAAAGGATGGCCTTGCAAATAAAACTGGATACTTTGGAGAAATAGAACTCTGAAAAATGCATTGTAATAGAACCCATGAGAGAGAATTGTAGATGATTGGCTTTAAGGCATTTTACAGCATGATGTGACAAAAGCTGATAGGCCCAGAAACTCTCAGAGTGAATTGTAATTAGGAAATCATTGGGTTCTGATTGTGATGGTGTGAGTTAAAACATCTGTATGGTCTCACCCAAGAAACTCTTACAGTGAATTGTAATTAGGAAATAATTGCTTCTGATTGTGATGGTGTTAATTATAACACCTGTAGGGTCTCACCTTTCATGTGAGACTGAAAATGGAATGAAAGTTCTTTAAAACCCCTCTCAGTTGTCCCATGTCTGGGTCAGAAAAGGACAAAACCCAACAGTGTCCTTCCTTGAGAGCCCTCTGTGCCAGGAGGAGCTGCCTGGGAGCATCCCTGCATCCCTCACCCATCCCTGATGGATGAGAGCAGATGGAAGGAGCAGCAGGAGGGGGAGAAAATCCATCCTGAAAAGCTTTTTTGGCTGGAATTGCTGTGGTTTCCCTCTAAAGGGTGACGAGCTGGGGTCAGGAACCCTTCGAGGCAGCGCTGCCCTGGATGGGCCCGGGTGTTTTCCAGGGTTTCTCTCCCGTTTCCCTTGGAGACAGGAATAACAAACCGGGCCATGAGGAGCAGCTTTGCCTCGGGGCTGCGTTCTGCTCGGAGCAGGTAAAGCTCCCGGGTTTCCCTTTCCCACAGTGTCCCCTGCTGCTTGCACTCAAAAATCCGCGGAGGAACTGCTGGGAAAAGCAGGAAAAGGAGAAATCTCAGCGAAGCACTGGAAGTCAAAGGGGAAATGGTTTTAGGGAGTCTGAGCGAGAGCAAAGAGGATTCCTGTAAGGAGGGAAATCACAGAATTCGGGGAATATCTCAAGCTGGGAGGGATCCATAAGGATCATCCAGTGCAAATCCCTGCTTCCTCGGGATTTCCTAAATTCAGAGTCCAGCTCTGCCACTGCTGCTCCAGAAGGGATTTAAGGAGGATGGATGGCACAGCAGGAAATGAACTGGGAAGAGAGAAGCCACTTTCTTCTGTTTCCCTTTGGGTAACACAAGGGAACCAACCCAAACCCTTTTCCCAGTGGAGAGCAGTCTGGATTAAAAGGATGGATGAGTTATCCATCGAAAATGTGCTGTTATGGTTCCCCTGGGGGCTTCGCTGCTGAATCCATGATTGAAATCCAATATCTGGGGATATTGAAATTCAATTGGATTGAAATCCAATATCCTGGGGGCAGGATTGGCAGATGGGATGAGACAAAGCTCTCCCTGCTCCCTGGGGGTGCCAGTGCCTGTCTGGACCTCAGGGATCCCATGGGAAATTCACCATTTCCCACCCAAACCTCTCCCCAGGGGACAGAAATCTTTAATCTGCAGGAAAAGCCCAGCACTTCCTAACATTGCCATTTCTTCTTCCTTCCCCAAGACCTACGAGCAGAATGAATGGATCATTCACCTGGCTGGGAAACTGCTGGCCCAGGAAGAGGAGACCTTGTCCCTGCTGGCCACAAACCCCTTTGCAGGCAGAGACCCTCCAAGGTAAGCCTGGAATTATCCCAGGGGAGCTGGAAACTCCTCCTGGTTCCCATCCTGTTGGGGTTTGTGTGTGCTGGGATTTAGGGTGGGTTTGATGGACACCAGAGTGCTGCCAGCACCTGGAGGGGCCACAGGGACCCCTTGGGATGAGCCCAATCCCAGCAGATCCAGGAAGGGCTCGGGGTCCCTCCTGCTGTGCTTTCCTGCCCCTCAGCTTTGGGGGTTTTTGCCACGTTGTGTTTGTGAGCTCAGCTCAAACCCCACCATTCCCATTCCAGCTGTGTCTGCCAGGAATAAATGAGCCCTGGAAGGGTTCAGAAAACTCTGGATGTGACACTTCAGGGCATGGTTTGGTGCTGAATGTGGTGCTTGGTGTTTGGGTTTGATGACCTTGAAGAGCTTTTCCAACCTGAACAATTCTGGGATTTGCAGGGGTGGGGTCTGGGGCTCAGAAATGCACACCTGGATCTGACACACCCCAATATTCAGGAGAAATCACATTAAAAACAGGGCAGTCAGTACCTGGAGGGGGCAAAGGAGATCTTGGAGGGTCTTGGAGGCCCCAGGTGAGCTCTGGGCTCTCATTCTTGGTTCTGTGGAAGCAGCAGGGCAGAGCCTGCCCATACCCCAAGGAGTTTGTGGGGTGGGGAGGCTGGAAGTGCTGCTGGGGAAGGCAAATCCTTCAGACTGGTGGCGATTTTGCTGCTCCCTGGAGCTCAAAACCCCTGGATCTGCCTCCTCAAAAAATCCTGGATCTGCCTCCTCAAAAAATCCTGGATCTGCCTCCTCAAAAAATCCTGGATCTGCCTCCTCAAAAAATCCTGGATCTGTCTCCTCAAAAACCCCTGGATCTGCCTCCTCAAAAACCCCTGGATCTCCTCAGCTCAAATCCCTGGATCTCCTCAGCTCAAACCCCACCATTCCCAGGGACCTCCTGAGGTGTTTCAAAGGCAAAACAGCCCCGCAGGAATCGCTGAGTTTGTGGACACTCATTTTGGAATTGTTTGTGTTTTCAAGGAAGAGACAAAGCCAACATCAGCCAGGGAAAAGCACAGAGGAAAATTCCAAGGTTTTAAACAAAAGGAATTTTGTCCCAAAAGCGTCTGTTTTGTTGATGGAGTTATTTTTAGCTGAGAAAACAATTTTTTTGGGGGGATTTTGGATCAACTGGAGCCACGTTATGCTGGTGCTGATGTTTTCCATTTGAGGATGCACTGCAAACAGGGATGCAGAGCTCTGTGTGGAATGAAATTCCCCTGGGATCCCGCTGATGTTTTCCAGCTTTAGAGACTCCTTCTCCAGCTGAGGCACAGAAAACTTCCCACTTTTACCAAAATGTTTCCTCCGAGGTGTTCTGTAAACCCCAAGAGGGTAAAAATACCCCAAATCCTGGCATGGTTTGGCTTGGGAAGGATTTTAAAGCCCATCCAGTTCCAACCATCCCAGGCTGCTCCATCCTGGCCTTGGGCACTCCCAGGGATCCAGGAGCAGCCCCAGCTCCTCTGGGAATCTGTTCCATGACCTTCCCACCCTCCCAGCCAGGATTTCCTTCCCAAAATCCCATAGCCCTGCCCTCAAACCCTTGGCAGAAGGGTGGACCTGGATGATTTTTAACCATCCCAAACCATCCCTGATCCTGTAATTCCGTGATCCTGGACTTTAATCCAGGTTGAGGGGAAAGTTTGCTGCCAACCTTAGGGATCCCTTCATTCCCAGCACAGTAGCTGGGTGGAAAAAAAACTCCTAATTTTCCTTCCATTATTCCCCCCACCCCTCCCTCCACTCTGAAGGGAATTTCGAGACTTAATTATTTTCATTCCCTGCTAGACTAAATAATTAGGGGAAGGGGCTGTTTTCCATAAGAACCTTGTGCTCCATCCTCCACAGAGTTTGTTCTGTTAATGGAAACTCTACACCTTCAATAGCCAAGGGACTTTCAGAATGAGTTAATGCCTTCGAAATGAAATTTCGGAGACCAAAGTTTGGAGGGTTCTTTACAACTCAAGAAATTATAGTAATTTTTTTTTTGTGTTTTTTTTTGTTTTTTTTTTTCAAGTGTGATAAACTTCAAATGAGAAACAGGTGAGTGATTAAAAAATGAGGGCATTGTTGAAGGCCCAGCCTGGCTGAGTGGGAAGCTTGGACCTCGAGCCTGGTGATGTTTAGGGAATGTGGATTTCCCAAATATTCTGGGGCAGTGGATAGTTCATAAAAGCCCAGCCCTCATAAATCTGAACCAAAAGGTTTGGGCTGAGAAATTAAGAAGTGTTGAACACACCATGGAAAAGGCTGCAACAATCACAGGAAACAAAAATCAGATTTAGCCCACAGGAGGTGGGGGGGAGGAAAAAAACCCCCAGGATTTTGGGTCTGTTTGGTGTCTCTGGTATTAAATCATGGTCACTTCAGGATTTTTATTCCAATTAAAGTAGCACTTTGTTGGAAAAGCCCCACCAGGGGTGTGAAGAGCTGGATTTGTGGTGGTTTTGAGGGAGCTGCTGCTTCCCCCTGGATGCTTTGGAATGCAGGGGATTGTGGCACTTGGGATTGGTTTTTATTGGGATATGGGATTTTATCTCCCATTTAAAAGTGACTGGGATCTGTGGAGTCAGCCCAAGCCATGGGAACAGCTTGGTCATATTTGTATTTTTCAGAAGCCAATTTGAGGTTTGGACCCTCCCCAGGGGGATAAAGGTGGCTCTGGAGCAGTGCTGGGAGCAGGCAGGGAGTGGGAATTCCTGGAAAATCCAGGAATCACTGGGATTAGGGGGAAATGAATCTCTCAGATATCAGCAGAATTAAATTCCACGGTCCTGAAGGGAAGTTTAAGGGTTTTTCTTTAGGGAAAATCAGCCTCAGTGTTTCAGGGAAGGCAGAGCTCATCCCAAGCTGGCAGAATTCCCCCCAGGCTGGGAAATTTGGTGGCCATGGGATCTCTTTTCCTTGCCAGGGTAAATTCCAGCCTTGGATCCATCTGGAGCCAGGATTTGATTTTTTTCCCCCCCCACAGTTTGTTCTGCCCTTGGTGTTGTCCCATCTTTTGTAACCCACCCAGAGAGGGAAAAATAGAGAGGGAAAAAGAGGAAAATCCCCACTGTGCCCCTTCCCAGGGGGATTTTGAGGATCAGCTGCTCCAGCTCTGTGGGACCAGACCCTGCAGGAGCCTCAGGACCAGCAGCACTAAAAAACAACCCCAAAACTGCCCTGATTCCCTAAATTTAGATGAATTAATTAATGCTCCCTCCCACCAACAGGGCAAGAACAGCAATGTTACCCTGATGAGTTTGGATTTCCCACCAGCTGATTTACAACAGAGCAGGGAACCTCGAGATAAAACACCCCTCAAAAAAAAAAAAAAATAAAAATAAAAAATCCCCATTGACCCAAAAAGACACCCCATGTTTTGCTTTCTTTCATTTTTCCATCCCTCTCCCAGCCCTCCTTGCCTTGTCAGGCCATTAATTCTACCAGAAAGCACCACTGGTTTTGTGTTTTTTTGGTTTTTTTGTTGTTTTTTTTTTTTTTCCCTGGAACCCCTCAGCTGTTGCAGGGAGACAGCTGCACCCTCTGGAACGAATTACAGCTGTCTGGGAGATTTAGGCCTCCATCCCAACAACTCCAATATTGCTGCTAATTTTTAACACATCCAGTTGGGAGATGTCAGGAGGGGCTGATATACGAGAGACTCCCGAAAGAGCTGCAGGGCAGCTGCTGCCAGGCATCTGCTCAGGGCAAAATATTCTTTTTTTTTTAAATCATCTTGATTATTTTTAGCCTTTTCTGGGCTCCCCATTGAAGCCAGTGTGGTGGGGATGTCCAGAAGGATCCTTGGGGTTGTTCAGTCCTCCCTCCTCTGTCAGTGGCGCTGCTGTTGGAGCAGAAGTTGCCCCAAGTTTGTCCCTTTTTTTCCTCACTGCAGAGAGGGTTTTCCATGTTCTGGAAGAGTCCTTGGAATGTCACCCTGGCCATGGGCAGGGACATTCTCCACTAGACCCCATCCAAGCTGGCCTTGCACATTTCCAGGATGGAGCAGCCACAGCTTCTCTGAGAATCTGTGCCAGGGTCTCCCCACCCTCCCAGGGAGGAATTCCTGCCCAACATCCCATGGAAATCCTTCAGTTTAAAACCAGTTTTTAATGGGAACTGGTGCCAGTTGCTTCCCAGGGAACCAGGAGGAGCTGCCAGGTTGTGTGTGCTCAGTAAATCCTGGGGAGCTGCAGGTTGGGATCACCTTTCCTCACCTTTCCATGGCTCCTCTGCTGTTGGAACCCTCAATCCTGGGATTTTGGGGTTTTCTGTGCTGGCACTGACCCCCAGGAGAACACTGCTTTTGTCCTGAGGCCTTGGAGAAGGCTTCCAAAATTGAGTGATGGAGTTAAAATCACGGGGGTGGAGTTAAACAGAAGTGTGTGATTTCACACGGTGAAGGGTTTGGAATTTGGGGTTTTTATAATGTAGTGATAGGTATGGGACAAGATGGAGGATTTTGGATGGTGTCTCTGTCTTCTTCATTCTTCATTTTTTCAGGCAGCAGTTTCTGGTTGGTCAGTCAGTGTCACACTGAGGGTCACAGGAGTTTGGTTATTGGGTCAAAAGCACAAATAATACAGGTGTTAATTCTCTACTGGACTGTTTATCTTTAAGAGACTTTGTAACCAGCTCGATTCTCCTCCATTTTGCTCACTTTCAGCTGGTAGCCAGAAGTGTTGCAGAACTCTCTGTACTTTAGATAAGATTTAATAAACAACCAAGCCCGAACACGAGAAAATTCATCTCCCTCGTGTTTTTAATCCTGGCTCCGAGTGAAGACAGAAGAAAATGAAGACAAGCCATTGATTAGGTGGTGCAGTTAACCCTTTACTCTCTGCCCCCCTGTCCTTCTCATCCTTCTCTGAGTACCTGGGACATCCCTGAAGCTCCTTCCTGACTTTCCTGAAGCTGCTCCAGGGAATCAGGGAATTCCTGCAGGCTCGGTCTCCTGCATCAGGGAGGCTCCAAGACCTGTGGATCCTTTCCAGCTGCCAGGAGATCTTTGTGGAAACCCCAAAACTCTGCTGGAAGGATGGACTTGGGGGTGTCAGTTTGTGGCACCTTCCCTCCCTGAATCCCGGGAAGAGGGAGCAGGACCAGCATTGGAGGAGTTGGAAAACCCCAAAAATTCCAGGATTGAGGCACCCAGGCAGGTTATAAACACTGGCAGAGCTTGTAAACTCTGTGAGCCCTGAAATGAGGGGCTCCAGTGGGTATTAAACGCTGCAGCTTTTACATCCTGAGCCTGGCAAGGAGATATCCCCTCTTGGCTTCCAGGTTTTCCACCTTTCTCCCGTTTATTTTGGGAATATCTGAGGATGGGTGCAGCTTGGGAAGTGCTCTGCAGCCATTTAATGAAGGAAAAACCCCAAAGCATCAGAGTGGCAGGTGGAGGGATGCTTGGATTGCCATAAAATCAGCTCTGAAGCATTTTTGGGAGGTGGATCTGGGATCGGAGGTGGAAATGTTTCGGGAATTGCAGGGAGCAGTCAGGCAGCACAGCTTGGAAATCTCCAATCATGCTGGAGCCTCGGGGACGTGGCTGCTCAGTAACACTCCAGTTATTAACAGGAATTTCGTGCTCCTGCAAAGGAAACCCTGTGGGAATAACACTGCAGCCACTGCTTGGCTTTTCCCAGCCTCAGAAAGCAGGGAAAAGAGGGAGTGCAGGAATGGGCCAGGCTGGAATGCAGGCAGCGTTTGTGGGGGTCAGATGCAGGTTTGTGCTCCCCAAATTCCACTCAGGGCCCCTTTTCCTATTTATTTTCCCTCATCCTCAGAGGAGGGGGGAAAATGGAGGTTCTGGAATCATGGAATGGTTTGGGATGGAAAGGACCTTAAAGCCCATCCAGTGCCACCCCTGCCATGGGCACGGGGACACTTCCACCATCCCAGGCTGCTCCAAGCCCTGTCAAACCTGGCCTGGGACACTTCCAGGGATCCAGGAGCAGCCAGAGCTTCTCTGGAAAACATGATGGGTGTGATGAGCACAGAATCCCAGGCTGGAAAATGCCTTTAAGTCCAGCATGTCCCAGCCGTGCCTGACCCCCACCTCGTCCCCATCCCAGAGCACATCCAGGAGTTCCCTGGACACCTCCAAACCTCCCTGGGCATCCCATATTCCCGTGGTTTTGTGGGAAAATCCTGTCATGCTCCCCTGAGTGCCAGCAGGACTGGAACAGAGCTGTGCTGGGCACACCCTAGGGTTGGGTGCAGCTTCCTGCAAGCCCTTCACTCTGCCCCGCTCCCCAAAGCCGAGCGCTGCTGGCAAATCCATCGGAGCCGTCCCTTTAATTATTTGAGCAGCAGGAAGGACCTTCCTGGCCGCTGCAGGGATCCCACAGCTGCGGTGCCCCGCTCAGTAGCAGGGTCTGTATTTTCCTAGTGGAGCAGAGCAGGTTTAAATGAGCACTGACACGACTTTGACAGTTTTATTTTGTGGGTATTTTATGGACCCGCGCGGCGACGCCGGCGATGCTCCGGCGCGGGCGCCGCTCCGGCCCTTGTCAGCATGTCCTACATCAAGGGGGACAAACCCCCCGGATCCAGCGGCATGGGCAGCTCCCAGAGTGTTTCCTGACACTGATGAATGTTCCTTTCTGCACTGCTTTCAAACCCCTCTTTGCTGTCAGCTCCCGGAGCAGCCGGGAAACAGATGCGCTCAGAGGCGCGCGCGGAGCGGCCGCTGGCTGGGCAGGGGGTGCCGGAGGACACAGAATCCCTGCTCCAAAATATCCCAGAAATGCTCCAGGATGGCTCTGAGAAGGGAAAAAATAATCTTATTGTTCCTGCTGTGATTATTGTTCGTGCTGTGATTATTGTTCTTTCATGCTTAGCTGTGGAAAGGTGTGGGGAGTGCTCGGGGAAGGGGTGGTAAAACTCCTCATGCGTCATTCCCGAGGCACATCTGGATTCCTAAATGGCATCAAGAGGAGCTGGGAACTTCCCAAAGCTTTGGCAGTGTCACTGCAGCTGGCTGGGGACATCCCAAGGATGGATGGATGGATGATGGAT